GGACCCTCTGAAGGGGATCTCGGAGGCTCTTTGTTTTGGCAGTGAGGCGACGAATATCGAACAGGGAGCCGTTCAAACAGTAGTGAATGTAGTATATATATACCGGGTATAGCATAAAAGTTGGCCAAATCGTGTAAAAGCAAAATTGGTCAATATTTAGATTAAGCTTTGAACTGATGTATCTTAGAAATGATTAAAGATATCTTACTGGAATTCTCCGGTTATTATAAAACTATTGGACTCTACATCGAATGTATTTAGCTCTAAGTTGAAATGATGATATCTCTTGTGACTTCTTGATTCAGGTTTCCTCAATTTTAAATATATTCACCATTACCTCGATGGTTCTTGAATGTAGTTTAAAGTTGGAAGCCACACCATGAATGTTGGTACATTCAGGAAGAGCTGAATGATCATTATATTGTCACCATTGCTCAGTTCGGAAGATATTATAGGGTTTACACAAAACGAAATTATACTTCTCTTTCTAGCTGAATAAGGGTTTCTCTGCGATTCTTACGACAAATAGTGCCAAGACATATAAATGCCATATCTGAAAACCTGGAAATTATCCCAGGTTGTTATACGATTTGGACAATTTACTTGTTATTCAGGGTATATATACTACGTATATATATATATATATATATATATATATATATATATATATATATATATATATATATATAATCAGAATCAACGTTGAGTTTAAGCAAGCGAATGAGCCAATTGGAGTAAAGTGCCATGCAGATTTAAATTTTTCCCACTTGTGACGAATGCAGCTATCGATTTTTTTTTGCATGCTAGTTAACATTCGTGTCAGTCAGCTGTTGGCCCTCACGCTGGCCAATAGAACCTCCTGCCTATTCGTGGCAGCCAGCTATAGGCTCTCACTCTGGCCAGTAGAAAATGGCCACAAACTACATGAAAACTGCTGTAGAAGCATGAGAAAATCGATTATTTCCACTATCGATGGAAGTTGGGAAATGCAAAGTCGATCTTGACCTTCCCGCTAACTTGGAGCATGTGCATGTAAATTTTGGGGCAAATCCGTCGAAAATTGCGGCCGTGCATTCATTTTACACACACGTTATATATATATATATATATATATATATATATATATATATATATATATATATATACTATATACATACTATATCTATACCACACACATATATATATATATATTATACTATATACATATTATATCTATACACACATATATATATATATTTATATTATACTACATACATACTATATATATACATATATATATATATATATATATATATATATATATAATACCATATGTAAATATATTTAATAGGTACAATATATTTAAGTAAAAGGTCTGTAAATTCTATGTATTAAAAATAAGGGTCTATAGTGAAGTCGACGTCAATATCATATTATATATACTATATGTCAACATCTATATTATTATATATACTAATTATATACCATATATGTATTATATATGCACTGCATATACACTATATATATAATATATATAGTATATATATAATATATATACCATATATTATGCATACATTATATATATACTATATTTATATACTATATGTATACACTATATATATACTACTATATATGCATATCTATATGCTATATATATATACATAATATATATACATTATATATATATACCATATATATAAATACTATATATATAAATTTATATATATGCTATAACTACAACAACAATAATAATAATAATAATAATAATAATAATTATTATTATTATTATTAATAATATTAATTATAAAATATTCTCATATAATTGATAATAATTTTATACGTTATTATTATTATTTTAAAAGTATACAGTTTATTGGCACATTGATGACAATCTGTTTACTCCATATGTATATATATCCCGCAAAGCTATGTAAGGTGCCAGGTTGAGAACTGGTGCGGGCTAGCTGTACTTGATGAGGATGAAAGGGGTCTCACTGATCTTTGGTTAGCAATCCTTTTAGTGTTGGTTTCACGATAAAAAGACTAAAGATGGGAAGAAAGACTCATGACAGCTTAACCCGGTCATTATATTGCATTCTACCGAGAGGCGTGTACTGGCTGATATTGACTGTGATCCGGAGAGGTTAAACTCCGCGACAATAACACATGAGGACTGTCGTTCGGAGTTTCCGTGGCAAGGCTTTTGCACCGTTACATTTTTATCGACAGATCCAAAAATTGTAGATGGCCTGACACAAGCCTTCACAACTTGTAACAAATCATTGCGTTGGTTTTCTGACATCTAATTATTTCCACACATATCCGGCTACTGCAAAAATCTCTACAAATTATCATTGGAGCTAAAGAAGTACAACGTTGATATATCTGCACTGAGAAGTAACCATCAGAAACATGAAACGAGAAAACAAAATAAGTGTTCCTGTTGCACTTGGATACAATATTCTCCTGTATTGTTGGTGGTCTCAAAAGTCATGCCCGTCATAGGCATGCAGATAATTTGATCGTGGTCCTCGGAACCTCATACGAAGAACTCGACGAGAGAGTCCATCATATATGCTATATATAATATATTTTCTGTTTATACGTTATTTTAATAGATACAATATATTTCAGAAAATGTTCTGTAAATTGTACCTATTAAAAATAAGTGTGGACATCTAGAGTCAACAATCTTGACCTAACGAGTGCGTTTAATAAAAACTGTCTGTCGCCTCCAGGTGTTAACTTCAATGTCCACTTTCATATTTACATATGTTCTATTTCTGTTACTGAGCACTTTAACCCATAAATATAACATGCTTTAAAATTATATTTTATCCTATATATATATATATATATATATATATATATATATATATGAGTCAAATCATAGGTTGTCTATAACCGACCATGACTTTCAATTTCAGCTATAGGTAGTAAAATAGGAAACCTGATACCATCAAGCGAGTCCGAGAGTGTAAGCCACCCAAGTTTGCCAGAAAGGTTAACCTATCCGGCCAAGATCAAAATAGCCGAAAATTTTTAAAAAAATGATATATAAAAAATTCCAGCAGAAAAGGTTTTCTGGTGTGGCTAAATGTGCTCAATGCCATAGTGAACAATAGCACCACGGTAGTGGAGCTTACCAGTCAAGCAAATACATGCTCTACAATACCGGGACATTAAAGTCATCCACGTCAGAGCATTTATGATTAGAGACTTTCAAAAAGTCTGCTTAAAATGGCACACTCTAAAAAAGAGTACTCAATGCCCTAAAAATTGCACACCTTTAATATATTTTAATTTAAATCTCAGCAGGGCAGTGACCGACGATAACTTCCAGTTTCATGCACTTTCACGCAATCATCAGGCGATCTGGTGCTCCAGTTAGTAATATAAGATATATATATTCCATATATATATATTATATATATATATATATATATATATATATATATATATATATATCCTCATGGTAGTGCATTCTATGTTCAATTTTCTTATTTCCTACACAAAATTTGTTTTAAATGATTTATACACCGAGTTATTTAAAGTGTTTTGTATTTATTAATTTCATGTTCTAAAGTTATATGATAGATTCAGGGTATCACTGTCATCATTGGCAAGATTTATTTTGTGTATTTTAACTTATGTATGTATGTGTGTTGTATGACATGATTTATTCCATTGTGTGTTTTGGTATTACTTAATAGATTTTGGGAATCTATTATTTAAACAATTTATTCTAACTTTAAAATGTCTTGACTTTAAATGTCCCATCACTTAATAATATAATCCACCAGCAGGGACCTAAGTTCATTTAAATACAACTAAAGGCTTTGTCCATGAATAAATTCCCACTCCGGCCCATCTCCTTGACACCAACCCAGACTCCTTATCAAATCGAGGCGTCCTCTCAATTAGCCCCGTACTTTCTTACCAAAAGTTATCTAAACTAAATTCAAAACCCCTATTACGAGACCATCAGTCTAAGGAGCACTAGCATATAATTGTGCTGGTCTAAAATAGACTATATATATATATATATATATATATATATATATATATATATATATATATTTCAATTAAAGGTGCAAATTATAATTTATAAATTCATGAATCATTCATACAAAAACAAATATAGAGGCTAATGATTTAAATGGCGAGAATACGTCTTCGCAAACAATATAAATGAGATACATCAACCCCAAACCTGTATATGAATGATATGATCCCTGTTCATAAATTCCAGTTGCATGAGGTCTTTAGTTTTGTTCCGAGAAGTAAAAACAAGAACAAAATCTATTTCCATACCTGAGGATGTCTGTAGGAACAGACGAAAGCTTGTAAAAATTAAAAGACCCTATGCAACTGGAATTTATGAACAGGGATCATATCATTCATATACAGGTTTGAGGTTGATGTATCTCATTTATATTGTTTGCGAAGATGTATTGTCGCCATTTAAATCATTAGCCTCTATATTTGTTTTTTGTATGAATGATTCATGAATTTATATATATATATATATATATATATATATATATATATATATAGAAATAGAAATTGAGACAGAGAGGAAAAGAAACATCCAATTTTTTTTTGTTCAGTTACTCATTAACAGTCTAGTTCTCAAATTCAAAATGGACGTTTGTTTATTTTGTGTGCTCTCGATATCCAATGTTCTGTTCACGTTTTTCAAGGGGAATGTATCAGCGTGTTGACAAATTGGTAATAATTTCATTTATTTTTTAATTTCTATAATTTTCAGTTAATCTTCCATGCGTAGATTGCAATTTCTGCCAGTTTGCGTCTTTTGTATTTTTTTTATTATATACACTTCTGCTAACATAGAAAAGGTATATACAAAGATAGATGTGTATGTTTTTGAGTGTATTTGTGGTTCAATAACTGTTGAACGCTTAAAAATGGGGATAAAAGTGCCTATTTCATACAGTATTTGCAAATATCACTTTTTTTTAGCAGAGAAAATAAAGAAAATGTTATTGTAAATGACGAAAATGTTCAATTTGCTTCTTCCGAACCTGTTTGTTCATTATTCGTGGGGGAAAACGAAAACCTACGCAAACATCACTACCTCAACATCGTTTTTCTCCTGGTCCATCAGCGAAGACAATAACCTGTTCACCATTGAATTCTACTTAGTACTCACGAATATTTTTGCTGTTCTAAATTAAAGACAGTGTGATGCCAGTCCTTTGAATTATTCAGTTGGTTGGACGTTATTCTATTTACTCACCGTACGCCACATCCTTAGATCCCTAATTCCTACCTTTTGAACTTAAGATGAATGTGAAACTCGGTGACTAAAAGATCAATCAGTGATTTGATAATTTTAAACGTTGTCGCCGTGCAATCAAGTTGGTTATCTCTCTATTTCTGTTTTACTTTCTATCTCTTTCTCTCTCTCTCATCTCTCTCCCCACTTCTAATTCTCTCTCACTCTGTCTCTCTGTCTCTGTCTCTATCTATCTATCTATCTTTTCGTAATTCTTTTAGTGCATTTCTCTCATGATAATATTTTTCTTTCGTTTATTTTATTTTTATACATAATTATTTAACTAATTTAACTAATAATCACAGATAATACTCTACCTTGACTCAAATATTAATCTCTTACATTTGGAAAATATCTTTACCCAAGAACCTCTGTACATTCAGAGCCAGTGATAAAGTACTCTTGGTAAACTAGATTTACTTATATATGCGATTTAAGAAATGTTACTGCCTTTTTGCTAAATCAGAAAGACACGCTTTCACAAGGGGGTTGCTGAAATCATGTCGAGCCACCTTATTTCCGAAAATTTAACCAAATGATCAAACATCAGAATTTACTTTGGAATTTCTTCTTGGCTGAACACACAAACTTTTAGTACCTCAATCCAATTTTCCTTAACCTTCAATTCTTGATAAGACTTAACAAAATATTTTACCGATCAATACATCTAAAATCCTATAAAGTGTATGTTAGAAAATTATACAAACATTATGCACTGATTTTTGTTTGTGTTATCCCGTATGGAATAAAGAATAAATTTAGTCTGTTCCCATTGCGTTGCCCAATCAATTTTCACCTGAAGAAAAAAGAGATTTTACAACGTTTTAAGCTTCTACTTTTTCTGAAATATTCTCTACAATTTTATAAACATCATGATACATAGTTACAATCATCGTTGCTGTGGCAATCGTCGGAGATTGTGTAGAAGGGTGCTCTTGTTAGCCTTGGTCGTGCATTCACCGATTCAACCCCTCCGGCTTTGTCTCCCCAGCAGTCGTTGTAGTAGGAACTTCGATTGTAGTTTAGAGTCAGGCTTTGATAATGACGGGCAGGTGATCGCTACCCAAAAGAGTTGTCCAATTACTTTTATCAGCTCCCAAGCATTTGTGTTTGGTTTCCGTCTTTCTTTCCTTCTCGTGTGTGTCTGCGACTGTCTCCAGCCTAGGATTCAAAGTACAGCTTCACATTTCATCTTTTCTTGAACAATGAACATTAATGTCAATATTGTTTGCGGGCAAAAATGTGTTCCTGAACATTTTCGGTCCATTGTAGCCACGCCGTCCGAACCCCTCGTTCTATAGTTGCCGTTGTACTCACCTTGGGGGGCTAGACCTGCAGTCAATTATTGCCAAACCAGTCCGGGAACATCCAAAATAACAAGGCCGACTTCTTATTGACCCTGGCCACCTCTTGAACAACAGAGGAAAAAAATGAAAATTGGAGAAAATCACGTTGTTGCAAGCAAGTCGTTTACTTATTCTTCCAAATTGTTTCTTCTTTTCACTTTCCTTCACCAGATGCTCCCCTTTTCTATCTTATTTTCTCGTTATTTTCATAGACCTTTCTCTCTCTCTCTCTCTCTCTCTCTCTCTCTCTCTGTTTCTTTCTTTCATTCACTTTCTCTCTGTCTCCCAGTCACACACTCTCATTCATTTTCTCTTTGTTCTTTTAGCCTTCTCTTCTTCTGTCTTCTACTTTTGTCTCTTTCAGAAATTAGTAATTTCCTTAGTTTTTCCTTAGTTTTGCTTGAGAAATCAGATTATTTATTCATAAAAAATAAATCTATAGATGAAACACTTTCTTGATGCCACGAGATAACGGAGTGAATATTTTTGGTCTTAGTTGATTATGATATACGTCCGAATAATTCATAAAACAATTTAACTAGCAAGTTAGCTCACTCTATACAATATCTCTTTCTATTCCTGTCTTTTTCTATTCTTTCTCTTCTTTCTCTCGATATCAGTCTTTTTCATTTGCTTCATGGGTTTCAAGCTTTTGCGATTATCAGACAAACTGGTTTATTTTTTCAAAAGTGGATCTATAACCCGGGGGTTACAAACTACTTCCATGAAGTTGAATATGTTAATGGCTATCACAGATATTGAGCACTCTTTCCACTAATTACCGCATATATATATATATATATATATATATATATATATATATATATATATATATATATATATATATATATATCTTTTGATCTATTTCTATTTTTTTTTCTTTTATGTTCCTGTCAATTTTCACTTCTGAAGACATTCACGCGATGTTCCTTTTTAAATTTACGTCTTCCTTAGGTTCACATTTTCTTTGTTTTTTATCCCTTATTTTCTTTCGGTCTTTTTATTCATTTAGAATCTTTCTTTTCTCTCTCTCTCTCTCTCTCTCTCTCTCTCTCTCTCTCTATTTCTCTCTCTCTCTCTCTCTTCCACTCTCTATCTTTCTCTTTCAGTTTTCATTAATTTACGCTTTTTTCTTTCTTTTTCCAACTTGTCTTTCAGCATTCTTTTGATCTTTCTTTCCAATCTATTTTTCTTTTATACTCCATCTTTTCTGTCACTTTTTCTTCTTCTTTTTCTATCATCTAAATATATCTTCCGCCCATTTCACTCTTTCTATGTTCTTCATTTTCATTCACGCTTTATTTTCTGTCTCATTCTTCCTTGCTTCATGTCGGCATGTTTCCGCCTTCAATCATCCTAATTCCACCCCCACCTCGCTGTATTCACCTCCTTCCAATTTCTGTTCGTTGCTTCTGAGCTCTAACCAAATATATTACGAACCTTTCTACACATCATCAGAACATTTTTCCTATCTATTTGACCTTCTCTGGTCACTAGGTCAAGGGTTTTAACAAGCAAAGGATAAAGAGAAAAACAAAAAGTCTTTCTCTCGTCTACAAGCGGTCAGCCACTCGACGAAAGTCTATAATAAATTGAATATCTTTTCAGGGTTGGCTAACTGGTGCGGTCGTTCAAGCTTTCACAAGCGCAGCTGGTGGTTTTAACTTCCCCTGGCCATAATGACTACGAGTGACCAATACAATGGTCATCCCCATATACCATTGTACGCAACTTTTCCCCAATGGGTAAATAAAACACGAAACACATGAATGCAATTAGTGTTTTTTGGAACACAACAAAGTTATAGAGAAACATAACTGAGTGGGGTGTGGGTCAAGAAAACTGTTTTGCACAATATCTTCCAAAAGAATTGTTTTCATGTAATAATCCGACCTTATATATGTGTTATATATGTGTGTGTGTGTGTGTTTGTATGTGTACATACGTACATAAGAAAGTAAATCAATAAGTTCGCATCTCAATAAAGAAAAATAGCACTTATTTTTCAAAACAAATATTTTTCTACATAATCACTTTCCTCTTTAATCTATTCAAATAAAAATTATAGTCGACTAAAACTTATTATTTATCGATTGAAAGTAAATCGGAACAAACTTGTGCTGTTTCTAATGCATTAGAACTTACCAGGTGGTTCAAATATAAAACTAAAAATTTGGTTTCACTTTGACATTTTTTTCTAAAAAATAATTTTGTTTAATAAAATGTAGCGCAAAATATTTCAGACAGCAGTCCATTGTATGGTTTCTCCCCGTCCCACTTTCATATCTGAAATTAACCGGATGTGCGATCTAATAGGTAAAAATATAGCGTAGCTGTAACACTGTACACATGGAAGTTATGAGACACAGACAAGATAATACCATTTGACTGTGGAATGATGTTTGGGACAGATGGCTGCTCTATCTTCTAACGGTATCTGTTCTATGTTTTCATCGAACATCAGTGATATGCGAAAACGGTGAGTATCTAAGCTGTTATTCAGGCAAAGTGAGGAATTTCACCATTTTATGTAACTATCTGTACATTTTAACACTTCAAATTCTCTCATTAATATATTACCAAGATCGATAATGTGTGTAGCATCTCGGTCGTACTTATGGGAGAGTGATTTACCCATTGGCTAATTCGCCTGCACTTGTTTATGTTAATCACTGAAGTAAAGATAACTGGCGACGATAAAACCAGAGAGAAGTGGCTTCATATCTTTCCAAAGTGTGTTGGCAGCCTCAGCCGAAATTCGAACTCGGCTCACCAATTCCATGCGTCATTTTTACTGCACTGCATGTCTGGAATAATGCAGTATTTGTTAATTATGCAGTAAACATTTTACTCAATATTAATTTTAAAATAAATATAGGATAGTGTTGCTTATCATATTGTAAATAAATATATGTAATATTATAATTATTGATACCTATTTTTACAAGTGTATAAAGATTGCTAAGTTTGCAAAAATGATATAGTCTTTAAAGAGGACAACATTTTCTAAAGTCATTGAGTAATGGGAACAAATCGTTGGAAAGAATTGAAGAGAAATCACTGAATAATCAAAAAAGAAATTGAAACTCTTGGCAAGATAAAAAGAAGAAAAAAAAAACTGGTTTTAAAGAAATCCCAAAAATAGATCATAGAAAAATTTTGAAAAAATGTTAATAGTCAAGAAAATTGACCGGAAAGAAAATATCCTAAGAATTTGGTTTTTCAAACATAAAAAGAGAGAAGACTTGTTAAATATTAAGATCATTTTATAAAGACTTGCAAACAACGAGATAATTTGTTAATCAAAAATAATAACACCTTTGAGAAAACATGACAAAGAGAAATGTGCAATTTGGGTGAGGAAGAACATGAAAACCAATTTCAGCGATAATTTTAGTAATTAATGTAGAGCTACGTTAGCTGGAGTTGCTACCTTTAATAGTGGTTGGGTCCTTAATGCAAATAATCGATCTACACTACTTACAAAACAACAATGAGAAATTTGAGAGTAATATTCAGAGTTGGTATTGCAGGTAGTAAAAATATAGCTATTTAAAGCAAAATTTATTGTTGACAGAATCAGATACCCTATAGCCTCTCACATGTTTGATCCTTGTAACTACTGACGGCTCTGTAATAATTAAATAAATGGGAATTCGCTGTCCCTCCTCATGTTCACCTTATTTGAAGTTTTACAATCTTCTATAGACAAAACAGAATTCTTTGCTTGTAGAGTCTCTTTTAATTCTATATTTATCACATCTGGAATATCTTTGCACAACTTTCCATTTAGAACTGAGTTTCTCTACCGGGTGATAGACACCTAACTCCGTCCATGGTTTCTGCTATCATCTCTCAACTTAATCCCCACAAAGCATACGAACTCGTATACCTGCAATAGTCCTACATAAATGTGCTCCTGAAATTACGCCTATTCTCTCTAAACCCTACAATAAAATTTCTTGCTGCTTCTTGCTTTCCACCTTGTTGGAAATCTTCTGTATTACATGATTTAAGAACTAGGATGAAATGTCTGATATTTCTATCACCCTATTAGTTTTCTACCTCTTTTTGGCAAAGTATTACAAGGTCTAATCAATTCGGAATTAGTTAAGCACCTCACCTCTATCAGACACGCAATAAGATATCTCGAAGGTGTTTGACAGAATTTAGCATGGTGAACTTCTTTTCGTATTGAAAGTTTATGGTGCTTGTTTTGATACAATCTATCTTATCAAATCGTGAAATGTAAGTATTGAATGGCAATTCTTTTAGATCTTTCTGTAAACTGCGGATGTCAGGGCTCTATCCTGGACCTACTTTATTTTAATTTTTATCAACGATCTTCCTAATGTCATCAGTATTTGACAAGGTATCTATGCTAATGACACAGCATTTAGTCCTGTCTTAATGGTAAGTTTGATAGATTCGATAAAGTCAAATTGGAAGCTGATATGGAAAATGACCTCCAATCTGTTGTTAACTGGGACAAGAAATACCTTGTTAATTTTAACACCTCCATAACTAAATTCCTCTATTTTAATCGCCTCAGAGGAACTTTTTTGCTTTCTCTCAGCATGGCTGTACCTCACTGCGCCTTCTCGGTTTAACGTTTTTCATTGATATGAATTGGAACAGAATCTATTTTATATCTTTATAAATCTGGGGATCGAATATTGTTGCCATATCTAACCTAGTGCTTCTGCTCTATATAGAGAGTTTCTTGACAAAATCAAAAAAAGAATCTGAAATTTTATCTGTCCTAACCAGGCATTTCAATCACTTTCACATCGCTGTAACGTAGCTTCTCTATGTTTTTTCTATAAATATATTGATAACGATTGTTCTGATAGGCTTTCATCTTTGGTACCCGGACTTCATGTACTTAAGTGTAGTATTAGAAAAAGGCAGCTATGTCTCATACTGTTGAAATTGCTAAATATAAGCGTCAGTTCTATTCTAATAATTTCTTCTCTCACTTGTCGTCTGTGGTTTCTTGCATTCCTAGCATCTACGATATAAAACACTTAAATTCAACTGTCTTCCCTGTTCTTTTATTCTCCTTTCTACTCTCACACTCAGTAAACCCTGACGTCTTAGTAGTTTTATAACCCTGCTTGGTTTAAAACGATTATAAAAAAGATAAATACAGAGAATTATTTTAAGTTGTACAGGTCAAAATCAAGAATCTTTAAGCTAAGGAATATATTCATGCAAAATAAGGCTTTCTGTCCGCCTTGTCAAAAAAGGTTTCAAGGCCACCAAGTCAATGGAATTGCTCCCAGCCTCCCCAACCATAAATCCAATAAAAAATTATGATACATCATTAAAACTGTTGTATATGAAAACAGCGGTATTTCAGCAAAGATCTCAGTGATCTTAGTGAAGGTTATAAAATATCAAGTTGCCCACGTTAGCAAATAAGATAATAGTATAATTTATTCAGGTATATATGAGAGAATATGTTAATCAAATATATGTTTCTGTAGTCTTTTGAATTTATTGATAAAAAATATTTTGCACTTGGTTTGCATAATAAAACGTGATCACTACTATAAGCGTTATAAAAAAAAATTATCAATATTTTTAATAAGGATGAATATTATTATAAACTGAAAATCGTACGATATATTGGTATATGAATGTAAGTATCCTAAACACTTTATCAAAATCAGTTGATTAATACAAATTTTATTGTGAAAACATCGACTTGCGTAATAAAATCTGACACAATATATAATATTCCCATGAATTATTTTTTCACTAAGCAACTTTGTCTTTGACAGAAAGACATAATCGCAGTTACGAGGACAGAAAGCAATCTTTATTTTAATAAAGGCTGAGTAGAATAGGAAACACGCTAACATTGTTCGATTGTCTCTTGCACTTGATCGAAGCCGAAAAAAAAAACAGTCAATGAAATCACTGATTTTATGAGTTACGTTCAGCTGCCCATTTTAATTCGACTTGATGACTGAATGTATATGTGGTGAGAATCTCAGTTAGAAAGAAACCTCAATAATAATAAAAACTGACATAATTAACAAAAAAAAGTGAAGAATGAGTATTTGCATATAAAAGGGTGAGAAAGACGAGGATCGAATACTGAATATCGAAAAGAAAAGAACTTGTTCAGGTAAAATCAACATTTATACAAGCATTGTAATCATTATCACAGAATGGTAGCTTTTCCAATTCAAAGTATTATATTCAATTATTGTTACTGATATACATCGGGATTTTTCCTTGTTTTATGATTTTTGATTTTTGATTGTTTCTACTTGATTCGTTCTGTTGATCGCGACATTGCTTAATCAACTGAAATCGAGTCAGATGACTTCAAGTACCCAACAAATGCATAGCGTTGAAATTCTTCTCGTAATACAAACTGGTTATTCGCTCATCTCACCTAACATGTTAAATTAGTGAATTCTATTTACTTAAAAGTGCTTTTACACATTATCTACGTATATATATTAAGCAAACTGATCTATGCTTAGTATCTATCTATCTATCTATCTATCTATCTATCTATCTGTTATTAAGTATTATCATATATACAACAGCTTTTAAAATATATCATATTTATCGGACTGTAAATGATGTGCCTTACATTAACCAGTTTTAATTTATTATTCACATTAAGTTTTTAGTGATGGTACAAGTGCATTTATTACTCTTTCTTGCATACACACGCGCGTGCGCGCACACACACACACATATATACATACATATATATTTAAAAAATAGTATGACAAATTGGAAAAAAAATTGTGATGCGTTTCATCCGTTAAGATTTCATCGGACTGGGCTTTGTTGATGTTGCCACGTCTATACGCACGAAACGAAAAACGCTGGTAGTTTCAAAGTTTTTTAAAGAATATTTATGAAAGAATATTTTTCAATCTAGCCAAATACATCTGTATTCTTTTTTCTTTTTCTCTCTATCATCTTTTCCCCAGACTATCCCACATTCTGACAAGAGAAAATCTACCAAGAATGTTGATATATTGTAAGAACCTGGATGCAAATTTACCGTGGCTTAACTAGCGATCAAGGAACTTTCCAGACATTTTCGTCTTAGTAGATTATTTTCTCTTTTAATCAAAGTTACATTCCCTATGTCAAAATTGAGCTCAGTTTCGTTACGGTGAACAACCAATGCGTTTTGTGTGTTGTTTTTTAAAATGTCCCTTTTGTGTTCATATAGTCTTTTTTTAACTTCTTGTGGTTTCTCCAGTATATTCATTCTGTCAATTTCTGCATTTGACAGAGTAAATTCCTCCTTCAACTGGGATATTAGTGGAAAGTGATTTTATATCTAGACTGGCTATGAGGTTGTCAGTCATATTTATTCCCCTTATTTTTTCAACAAGGTTCCCTGAAGTTTTTATATGTGATGGATTGTTTCAAGGAGAGTGGTTAATATTTTTAACAAAATCAAAGATAAACCTCTCTCTACAAATAGCTACAATAATAAAAATCTGCCGTCTCATCAGCAATCAATGCTTTTTCACATTCAATAACAATTTTTACAAACAAAAGTTTGATTTCCACTGGGATCGCTTCTAGAAGTTTTTAAAAAGTGTATAGGAAAACAAAGGGGACGCATTGTTTGTTCACCGTAACGAAACTGAGCACAATTTTGACATAGGGCATGCTAATTTGATTAAAAAAGAAATAATCCGCTAATCCGAAAATTCCTGGAAAGTGTCTTGATCACTAGTGAAGCCACGGTAAATATGCGTCCAGGGTCTTACAATATACTAGCAGCATGGCCCGGCGTTGCCCGTGCTTGATTCAAAAATCGTACGACTCATACAGCAATCGCTATCACTTGACTTAAAATATTTTTGACCTTTCTTGCCTTTAAAGGAGTGCCCTTTGCCGTGCTGATGTTGCAACATGCCTTACTTCTTGCCTATCTCACACTGCGAATTTTTTCTAAGCTCTATACTAAACATTAAATCTGTTACGAAAAAAGAACTAAACAAAACGATCAGCTTTAAAAAAGGACTCGTAAGTGGAAAAACCCAATGAAAAAAGAATGTTAACAACAAATACTTTTCACACTCAACCCAGTTCTGTGGAATCAGAATCAACGTTGAGTTTAAGCAAGCGAATGAGCCAATTGGAGTAAAGTGCCATGCAGATTTAAATTTTTCTAACTTGTGATGAATGCAGCTATCGATTTTTTTGCATGCTAGCATGCTAGTTAACATTCGTGTCAGTCAGCTTTTGGCTCTCATACTGGCCAATAGAATCCTTCTGCCTATTCGTGGCAGCCAGCTATAGGCTCTCACTCTGGCCAGTAGAAAATGGCCGCAAACTACATGAAAACTGCCGTAGAAGCATGAAAAAATCGATTATTTCCACTATCGATGGGAGTTGGGAAATGCAAAGTCGGTCTTCGCCTTCCCGCTAACTTGGAGCATGTGCATGTAAATTTTGTGATAGTTTTATAGTTGATATTACAGTTTGTGATGGGTTCGATAAGTTTAGAAGTGCAAATTTTGAACTGGAATAAAGAGAATGTTTCACTATGTTGTTGATGATGAACAAATGGAAACCGTGATTAATAATAGTCCAGGTCAAGGAACATCACACAGTTTATGTATATCATATGGGCTTCGCAAGGCATTTGAATTCACTTCGAGATTGGAATTGCTACAATGTTTGGGTGCCACAAAATTTAGTGGAAAATTCTATAAGCGATTCTCAGCTTAGACTAAAAAAAACTATTTCTGAAAAAACAATTACGGGCGATGAAAAATGGAGTGTTTAAAACAGTGTAAAGGGAAACATGTCATAGAGAAAACGAAGAAAGTGATACTGCGCATCTGATGAGATTGGAAGGTCATTGTGTATTACGAGTTTCTCTCTCAAAATCAGACACAAATTGAAGAAAAACCTTTGGAATTGGTCAATCGAATAGATTTTGTTTTCCAACAAGACAACGCTAGACCGCACTAACTTCAACTTTCACCCCAAATTACCACATTTTCAATAGCTACAAAATTATCTAGATTCTGTTAAAGTCACTTAGACCAGTTCATCAACTAGAAAGGTACCATGTACTAAGAAGGGGAAATAATGAAGGTTCTAATGGTAGCGATATATAATAGAACGAATTGATACATATGGTTGAATAAATCTATCTACAAATATGTAAATATTGTATGGGATTCACTTAAAAATCCATACGAACGTTTTCTTCCGATCAAAATTACTATTGATTATTTTATTCATTTAAATTATTTACTTTTTAGTTTTCTATATTTTTCGTTCGTGCATTTTTGATTTGGTGCTCGGAATAAAATTTATTAAATTTAAGCGATGGGATCTTAATTTAGTCTTTTTTGATCATGATGTTTTCACGTCTGTGCTTGGAAATTCTTTTTCTAGAAAGTTAGTTATTGCTATTTTCACCTTTAGGCAAAGATTACATCGTTTTGAGGTGTTGCTATAAGCTGGTACTCATTTTCCATACTATTTTTGGTGTGTTTGCTTTATGTTTTTACGCTGATATGTATGCTTTGATAGAATACTAATGTTTGCATATTTTCTATTTTATGTTTATTTCTTCTATTTCTGAGATCTTCTGTTATTGTTTTCCAGGTTTCCGTTGCATTTTTGTAGTTTTGTAAATGACATAATTTTTAAGGCAGTTAACATTTAGTGGGTATTCATGCACAGTCTCGGACGTTGGTCGCATGATAGGGGCAGGTGATGCTTTTTGCTGGTGCTGCCGGGCACTACGTTGCCTTCATTTTACTTCCTCTTCAGCTACTCTCCCCCCCCCACAAAAGTGAAACAACCAAAATGGATTGCTCTTCCCCAGAATAGACGGTAGGTTGCTTCTCTTTCCTAAGTATTAGGGCCGATTCCGACTTGAAGGAGGGAAGACTTAAGTTGGTCTTTGAATCTGCGCTTTGGGGCTCCGCGATGTCGTTTCCCATTGACAAGCTCACTGTAAACGATGATTCTAGGAATTCATTCCTATATATATATATATATATATATATATATATATATATATATATATATATTTGCTTACATATATATATATATATATATATATATATATATATAATATTCCTTCCGTTCTCTCTTTTTTTTCAGGTGAGCGTTTCATGTCAATTCAACGCCTTCTTTATGCGCCTCAATCAACTTGGCTTGATGGAGGCCATTCAAATGACATGTCCTGACGTCAACACCAATTATAATAGGTAAGCATAAAAGCAATATTTTTGTCTGCGTAATACTATCTAAAGCTACTATATTCCTTATCAATTATGAAAAATGGGGATTGATTTCTGGGTACCAATACTGTGTTGTTTACATAAAGTTACATGGCTAATATCGAATTAATAAATCACTTCAACCAAGAGAAATTAAATACTGATTGTTTCACTGAAAACGGGACGAATAAATTACAAATAATAAAGGCTGAAATAAAAATTAGTAGAAAAACTGAATAAATATTGCACCTGTAGCAAATATGAATTGAAGAACAAGATGATGATAAGAGTAATAGATATTTGCTAAGCTTAGTATAGTTCGAATTCAAAATAGACAACTATTCTTTAAATATCAAAATCACTAACACAATGGTCTGAGAGATTGACTTACTGACGGTTATTCTACGGCAATCGCTCACAGTTCATATTTAATAAGTTTATTGGAGTCTGGTACAGAAATGAGGCAGTTGATGAGGTCCGATCTTACTAGACCATCAGTTGTTTTACGAGACAAGTTTGCTTCATATGGCTTTCTGGCAAACTTTAAAGAAAAGCCTGAAACTATTGAAGAAAGAAAAGCGATCATGATTTGAGGTACGGTTTTTTTAAAAGAAAAAGGATCATAGTAAGTGACTTTTTCTAATATTACTTATTTAGTGCGAATAAGCGTTTTTTGTTCATGGTCAGTAGGGCAGATAATAAATGACTGGTTTCAAATGCAGAAGGATCTAATCTACGTGGTGATATTGTTTAAACCTCTTTTTTCTATGTGGGCGTCTTTGTTAATAGATTAACGGACAGGTGTCGCGACGAATGTATGACGGCAAAGGTGAGACGCTGACGAAATGAAGACAAAAAAAGCAAGTTTGCCTGTTTTTACTACGATGACTTAACATAAAAACTCGAGACGAACGGAACAATACGGTAAAAAAAAATTCTTGTTTCGCTTGAGGCGTTAATGATTATTGACATGCTACTAGCAAATCACCCCGCTTATTCCCCGATCTCATATCAAGATATGGTTAATTTATGGCATGACGATATCTGTTCATTCAAGCGAGTTGCGCCTTTGATTTTTCACATATACAGGGATACAGGGAGGATTCAATAAAAGAGACAAAATAAAGAGCAAATACTAGATAGCGGGAAGTATAGGGATGATGAGTCAATTTTATATCGTTTTGAAGAGCCTACAGGACTACATGTAGTGTGTACTTACTGCTATTGTTATTTATAAGAACTGTTCATTTAACCTTTCAGTTGTGTTTTGATCTCTATTAATCTTAACTTGTACTTGGAAATGG